GGGTGGTGGTAAATGACTTTTTAAAAAATTCATTGAGAAATTCCAAGCTTTTTGATGCTTGGACAAAATGTTTCTTTAAAAGCCATTAGAATATAATTCAGAATAAAAGAGAAATATCATTTGATCATCTTCAATAGAAGAAGAAAAAGCATTCTATAAAATTCAATACACATTCATAAAGTTAAAAACAAAGCAAACTAGAAATGTAGGCAATTTTTTCAATCTACTGAAGGTTTTACAAAAAACTACAATGAGTATTAGAGCGCAGACTCTTCTTGAAAATAAAGACTTTTTTTTAAGAGAGTTTTTTTTTTAAGCAAGTACAGCGACGTAACCATTATGCCATCTGCCAAGAAATACTTCTGAAAAAATGGTTCAGCATCATGTAAATATTCATAGAACAAGCAAATCTTGACCCCCTATTTTATACCATGTACAAAATAAACTTCAGGTACACTGTATATCTGAATGTAAAAGAAAAAAAAAAGCCTAAAAATTCTAGAATAAAAAGTAGCAGAATATGTATATTTTTTTTAGAGGTTTTTGCTATAGGGCACGTGTGCTCACCAGAAAGACAGAGAGAGAAAGATATACAAAAAGCGAGAAATCACCCCCCAGGGGTGATGGCCACGCTGCAATCCCTTCTCCATTCTCCTCTCTGGATCTTGCATTCACACACATGCCCTGCGAGTTTAAGCCATTGGGTCCGGGACTTGAACTGCGGTCTACTACATGGGAGTCCAGCAACATAGCCATTACACTAACTGCTGGTCCCCAAAATAGCGCAATATCTTCATAAACATGGAATAAGCAAGAATTGAAGACTGGACATAAAAGCAATAGTTAAAATAGAAAAGATGAATGACCTATATTAAAATTTGGAATTTGCATTTATCAAAAGGTATTAAGAAAGCAAAAGGGCAAAGCACAGAGGATACATATGCAGTACATTCACTCAGCAACGGACACATATACTGAAATATAGAACTACATATAGACCAGAAAAAAGCAATCTAAACGACAAATGGGAAAGGTACTTCACAAAAAAAGGATATTAAAAGCATAATTAAATACCATTCTAAGTCCAAGAGAATGATGAAAAGGAAAGGGACTGACAAATAATAACTACTGGCAAGGACATGGAGTTCCTGCAATTTCCATAGCATGTGTGTTGTATGCACTGGTGTAACCACTTTGTAGAAACATTAGACATCAGCTCTTGAAGCTGAACTTACACAAACCCAAGTACTCAGAAATTCCATCCAGACATTTACCCTACAGAAATGCACACACATATCCACCAAAGCACAGACTAGAATAGTTCTAGTGGTGCCGCTAGCTTGAATACAAAACCGAAAGCAACAACAATAAAATGGATAGATAGATTGTAGTATCCTCATAAAACTCAGTAAAATGCAACAATGTGAATAAGCAAACCATGATTTAGATTGATCTCAAACATAGTGTTAACAAAAGAAGCCGGACATAAAATAGCACATAGCATGTGATTCCATTTATGAAATATTCAAAACAGGGCAACAGTAACTGACAAGTGAGTGAAATCAGAACAGTGATTTCGCAGTGACCCTGGCAGGAGGAGGAGATGAGAGAACATGAGGCAGATTTGTTTCTTGACCCAAGTAGATGTGATCTCTTGTGTACTTGGCTACAATTTCTCTTAAGAAAGAAAGAACCTGGCAGGTATACATGACCAACTTAGGAAGATAACCATGAGACAGCAGGAAGTGGGGAGTGGGAAAGGCAAACCGTAGATTGCCAAATGCAGTATGAATTTATACGTGTAAAGAAGATAAAAATGTGAATTGTTATGTACAAAATATATCTATGAATGATTTAACAATGTTTATCTCTTTAGTTTCTTTTTTGCTTTATTTAATTGTAGGATGCTTAAAAAATGAGCATTAGTTACATGTGAGTGCTAACTGCTCTGGTTTTGAGGCGCTCTGTGGTGCAGAAGGACATAGCACTTAGATGAGCAGATCCTTCATCGTCAGTGCAAATGCAATTAATTAGCCTCATTCAACTGGTACTCAAGGAGCAGACTGTGTCCCATTCTCTGTGGAACACTCATTGGGAAAAGGTAAAAATCTGTCCGGTCACCACACAGAGCGCCATTTCTTTCCTGAAGAAGGAACTCCTATTGTTGCCAAACATGTCAACTCTACATTCATGGATTATTTTACTTAACAAACCACACAAAAGGATAATTATCACTTGTCATGTCTTAGGTAATACTCAGTGAGTAAACCTTCAGATCAGTAAGACAAACTCCAACTTACTCCTGTCAATTTTTTTTAGCAAACATCCTTTCAGGTAATCATGCTTTGTGTCATTATAAAATAGTTTAAAAATTTGTCATCCAGACTTATTTTTATACATCATTAAGGGAAAGGAGAGATTTCAGAATCTTTAAGAATTATATTTGAGGGGACCAGCACTTAGTGTAATTGCTATGTCGCTGAACTCCCATGTAGTTGACCATGGTTTGAGTTCTGAATCCGGTGGCTTAAACTCACACCGGCTGTGTGCACGTGCATGCCCAAGATCCCGAGAGGAGAATGGAGGAGAAGGGATTGCGGCATGGCCATCCCCCCTCGGGGGGGGGGTGATTTCTCACTTTCTATCACTCTGTCTCTCTTTGTCTTTCTGGCGAGTGCATGCACCCTATAGTAAAAACCTTTCAAAAAAAAAAAAAGAATTATATTTGAAAATAATGATATCCTTTTAATATTTTTTTTAAATTATACATGCCAAGTACGTAAATGGATATCCTTTTAATTTTTTTTAAATTATACATGCCAAGTACGTATTTACTGCAAATAAGAAACTTTAGAAAATAAAAGCACTTGCAAGTAAAAATTGAAAGCATGCTGAAATATGAAAAAGAGAACGTATGTTCATATAAATATACATGTGTACGCAATCACTAAAGATCGGTGTATATTATTTTCCCTCGTAAGACAAATAGAGAACAGATTTTAGCTTATTTCTTTTGAAAAAATAAGTCTTCTAATGAATGAAGAAGACATTAATTTCATTCTAAGTCAAATAGCCCCATACCCCCATGAAAAAGATAAGGACTTAAAAAAATATGTTCAGATATATAGGCTTAAGAAAAATGACAAGGAAACATTATGTAATCATGTAACGTCATGGTAATAACATCTTTATCCTTGTTATTTTGTCTCACCCAGGTTAGAACCAGAGTAAATGTGCTTAATTATCGTAAGGGGGATTACTCCAGTATGAGGAAGAATCACTTTGGGTGATAACAGCCTGGACTAGAAAGCAGGTGCTCAACACAGCTAGCCACGCATTCTGTTTCCACAGACTGGCATGGATCCCATAGGGCATCTTCTCTGCACACAAGCACGTGAGCATCACTGGCCCACAGGCAACCCGCATGCTCTGCAGAGGACAGGCTGCTCCACCGCCAGCAATTCTGACATAAACATCCTATCTGTTACCATAGACTTATGCTGCGAGGAAATGGAAATGTGTAAATGAAAGAGCATGTTGAATGCATGAATAAATAAAAGCACTATAAAAAAACCCTTTTTATATGTGATATAGAAAAGAACGAGTGCATAGCAAACAAATTGGTAGAGAAGTCATCTTTCACATTATGCAAATGCGGTTTGCTAGGGATATTTTCTACTTTTGTCAGAATGATCCTCATTATTACTTTTACTATGTAGCTAAAAAACTGTGTATCTGTTTTAACAGGAAAGAGTACATAATTACTCTTTGAGTATCTTTTCAAAAGCATCAAAATATGAATTAACGCATAGACTTTTTGTTTTTTTTTAAACGCTTCTTATGTGGTTCCAAAACATGTTATTTGAGGAATGAAGGTTTGGTAAAAAGGATGAGGACATACGTACAAAGCTGGTTCTAAAATATCAGTTATTTACTTTATTTAAAGCAAGCTTCGACTCTGATTATGTTACATAGAGAGTCTTCTGATGCAGAAGAAACATGCAGCTTTACAATGAAACCTAACTTGACGATATTCCATTTTCTGAGGAAAATATCCTCACCCTTGGGGCTGAGATGGAATCAGAAGTACTTCCAACCACAAGTTTTGTCCCTAACAAGAGCAGTCAGCATTGCTCATGGACCTCAGAGCCCTCTTGTTCTATGACCAAAAGCACACCTTTTATCTTAAACAAAACAAAACAAAACCCAAAAAAGGCAATGGCTATTGTATTTGAGATGAAGTGCCATGCTACCAATTTGTGCTAATTTGCTACACTTTTGTCTAAGTCAGCAGAAAACTCACTAATTTCCCCTTCCTCTAGGAGATAAATAAGTCTCCTACTGTGTTCTGGAAGATACCAACACCCAGAAAGACGATGGCAAAAGACATAGGATACTTATTACCAATGACTGATGTTCCCATCTGACCAAATGAAAGTTTTTGCAGCAAAATAATGCAACTGGGAGAAAATTCATTCCTTAGCTTGCTACAACATAACCTAACCTCACAATCCTATCTAGATTGAGGAGTCATTGGAAGCAACACAACTAAATGAAACATGCAATTCTTTTTTCTATTCTCCAACAAATCCCTCAGCTCTGATGGTTAGATGTTTCTCCTGGTAACTAACTAAGGACGTACATTTCCTAGTCTCCCAAAGCATCCAAAGTAGTGATTTGCTCCTGGTTTCCCTTCAGGGCTTCTGTACATTTGACCACCAAGGAACTGACTTCAGCTTAGATCTGTCCTATCAGGAGTAAGAACCGAGGTTAAAGAGTCTAGGCCTTTTACTCTAATGTGAGAAACTGAAGGTTGAGAATAGGGAAATGACAAATTTATTTGCAGGATTCGGACCAGCGCACTAGTTCAATTCTTTCTCATCCCCTACTGGAATGATAAAACCAAACAGTCAAACAAATAGAACATTCTGCACAACAAAAAGTATATTCTCTGTTTTTGCTGGTGTTTTCTATTATTATTCTTATTATTATTAGTTTACCTCTGAAGAGATTATCCAAGTCAATATCTTCTTTTCCTTTGATTTTCAAACACTTTGCCTGCTGTACAAGTCTGGGCAAAGAACAGAAATAAAATCTAGGTTCATTATTCTGTGAGGTAGGAATAAATCATGACAGCAGCACAAATTTAAACAGAAACCGTACGGTAAACAAGAGTGAATTAGAAGGTCTTTTGCTGTGTAGAGCCTTGATAGCATTTTTCTTTAAGATTTTAAAATATACCTTTGCTTAGAAACTCTGACTTGGAAACTAGAAGCTTAAAAGTTTTCACTTCCTCCCCCCTCATTCTATTATAGCAAAAAAATTTCAAAAACTCTCCGGGGAATAATCTCTTCAGATTCTGAGGAGGGGCTATCAGGCATGGTGGGTAATGCTGTGGTAGGTGGGTAAATAATAGTTGTTCCCGATGATTTTAGAGCTTATTATTTTAATCAGAAGATTATAGACATTGTGCTCAAACAACTGTATGAAGTAATTTAGTTACATTACTGAATGTCAGAGAATTAATTAACTTTTAGAATGCTACAGTATACGGTAAGGTTTAATTTTGTAACTCTTTCATCATGGAAATTTATTAAAACCTGAGCCTTACACTTTAAAACGCATTTGAAAGTTTCGAAAGGGAAACTTTTCCAGGACTGCTAATTACCTAGCAATTAATTTTAGGTAGGCATAACTTGAGACGGTTGATTAGCTTATGCGTATATGTCTGTGATTTTAATGAAATGATAATACCTTACTTTGCACATTGCATTTTCTTTTTCCACTTGTCTAGCATCTCTCATCCTACCCTCACTGACAAGCCTTTGAGTTGCTCAGGGGTCTATTTCATTTCCATTCCAGATGAGGAAACTGAATCTGTTACCAAAACTATACCTAAAAACCTAAATCACTTGTATGCCACGAGGTGATTTTATCTATATGCTGTATAAACATGTCTATCACAGTAGAAATACATTCTAATTATATCTCCTAATCATTAAGACTTTTGATCAAAAAGGCAAGGAGCAGAGAAAGGTTTTCAGTTGAAACCCAATCTTTGGACTTTCCAATAAGTCCTACCTGTGGCCATGGTGGTACATGCTAACCACAGGCAGTTAACTGAGGTGCAAAGGAGCTACCGTATCCTCGATGCAGGAAAACCTGGGTTCTTGCCCCAAACCCAGCCTCTCAGTCTGTGATCCGAATTGTTACTGAAATGCTTGGAGTCTTAGCTTCTAGTATGCCAAATGGAGATGGTCGTGCCTCACCAGGCTGTTCTCAGCAGTTAGCGACAGACAATTTAAAAACAGTGTATGTACAATATGTACAATTTTCACTATATTCTCTCTCTCTCTCTCTTTCTCACTATCTTGTTTCCTCATCAGGACTTACTGGAATTCTTGTAGGAAAGAGTAGAAATCACAGAAACAGGGCTTATACCTAACACGCCTACTCATCAGTGTCTGGCGTACAGAGCTGGTCAACATGGGAGCCCAGAAGCACAACACATACATTAAGTAGCAGAGTGTAGCCATTTTGCAATGAAGACGATAGGGATATAAAGAATTTTAGCTCTGCTTGTGTATTTTTGACATATCTTTAGGCATTTGCTCCTTGATTTTACAAATGCTATAAAACTTGGAGTTGACTTTCAAACCGTCTTAAAGCATCACTCTGAAATATATGCTAATGAAGATCTTAGTTCTATCTTAGAAAATTAGAAAATAGAAGCTAGTATACCTTACATAATTTTAATATGGATTTTAAAAAGCAATTTTAAAATAAATCAAATAAATTTATTAGGTGGCTTTTTTTTTTTTAAATGCCAAGCAGAATCTTGTTTTCAGATGATTATATCAGTAGGGAGCTATGCCAAACCAAACCCTGTGAGCAGTTCCGATTCAGTTACTGTTTCCTGAGAACTCCAAGTGGGTACCTTCTGAGGACTCCTAGCTTCCTCATTTCACCTGGTTTCATGCTCGTGAAAACTCTGTAGCGACAGACTTCGTATTTTATAAGTAAAGAAACCGAGGCTCAGAGATACTAAACGACCTCCTGACCTTGGGCATATAGTAAATCCATGGTGGAACCAGTATACTAACGCAAGTCTGGGGACTCCAAATCTAGGTTTCCTTCTACCTGACATATCATCTTCCAAAGTCCTGGGAGAGTTTACTGATCGTTTCCAAATTAGTTGTAAAGGAGAAGATACAGGCAGAGCAAAAAAAAAAGGATAATCAGTAATGGTCCTGGTAGCCGAAGGGACATGGCTTGATGCTGGGCCAGTTGGAGCACTCTGCAGAGGGTGTGGACAGGTCAGGGGTTAAGAGAATGAGGATGGGATGACTGAGGGGGTCCAAAAAAAAGATAATCAGTAATGGTCCTGGTAGCCGAAGGGACATGGCTTGATGCTTGGGCCAGTTGGAGCACTCTGCAGATGGTGTGGACAGGTCAGGGTTTAAGAGAATGAGGATGGGATGACTGAGGGATTCCTAATGGAAGAGAACTAAGATAGGGGAAATGGAGAAACTGGAATAGAATGAATATAAGTGAAATGGAAGGGGAGAAACATTTGGGCACCTGGACAAGCCAATCTTACTTTGCGGGTGGGGGTGGGGAGAGGGTTGAAGCATATGTACAGTGCAAGGAAAGGTGAGTTAACAGAATAAGCTGGAGTCAAACTGTACAGGGTCTTGCAGGCCAGTCTCAAGACCCTATCTTGGGGCTGTGGAAAAAGCCATCCAAGTGTCTATATCCTATACAGGACCTGTAGAAATGTTTGGAAATGACTCAGTATTTTCTTTGTGTTTTAAACGACTTAAGGTCTAAATCTCCATCTAAATCTCTAAGTAATACTGTTTTTCTAATAATTCTTCCTGAAGTTCGACCTATACCTTGTGTAGAGTCATTATAGCTCCAGGTACACTAAACTATCTTCAGAACTTTTGATTAATAGTACTGCTCTGCTGCAGCGTCAAGATACCCACCCGTCTACACTGCTCCAGTTTGGAAAAGAATGTACAAGACTTAAGAGGTAAAATCTGCCACTGGCAACTGATGGTCTCTGCTTGCTGTTGTTTCTTAACTGGCCTCTTCCTTAGGATTTTACTACTTCCAGTTCAGAGCAGGGGCCACCCATCCTCTGACCCTCTTTCTAGGTATCCACTCCTCTTACCAAGGCAGGGTTAGGTCGCTACCATTTCTGTGCTCAATAAGTGGTAAGCCCTGACATCCTGAAATAGATGCCTAAGATGAGGGAAGTAACAGCAATCTTATTTTAATGTGTTGAAAAGGCAGAGGTGTTAAAAAGAGCTTATCCCAAGTCACACAGCAATCAGAAGAACCAGAATTTGAATTTAACTTACATTAGTCTAACTACCCAGACACCTTCTAGAAAAAGAGTTGGCAACCCACAGCCAAGTCACGTCCTGCTCATCACCTGTTTCTGTAAGTGAAGTTCCACTAGCACACAGGCATGCTGTTTTTACTGTCTATGGCTGCTTCCACCACAATGGTCACATCGAGGGTTGCAGCAGAGACCTTACGGCTGGCAACTCTAATATATTTACATTTGGCTCTTTAAAAAAAGAAAAAAAAAGTTTCTGTACCCTGTTATACAAAGGAAAATGTGTGCGAGGTAAAAAAATACACCACATGGAGTTGTTTTATACCTGAGTCTTTCCCCCAGAATTGCCTTAGTGAATGAACTTAGTAATAATGTCTGGAAGATCTTAAAAGGCAACCACTGGGCTCTGACTTCCTTTAATGATTAGCCAAATTCTTCAAGTCCAGCCAACGTTTCTCTGAAGTTTTCCTGTCTGTGGGTGTCACATTTGGCTGAGATGGCTTCTGCTACTGGAAGGTTCATAATCTCCCTGGGGATACGGAGCAGGGTACTGCCAACTTTCACATGTTGCAGGCTGAGAAAGGGGCTGCAATGTGCAAGACCACACAAGAGGAGAGGACTCTGAGTACAGGCAGGAGAAATCAGAAAACTTTTCAGGAAGAAGTGGGTCTACGCTAGGCCTCAAAGCAAGCTTTACTAAGGGCATTGCCGAGAAGGCCTCTGCAGGGAAGGGCACAGCCCTGTGGGAAGGTGAGGCAGGGAGAACTTCTGATGGAATGCGGTGTGTGATGAGGCCAAGAAGTGGAGCTGGGGACCAACCAGGAGGACCACAAAAGCTTCCAATATTTCTGTGTATGTGCATGTGTTTGGATATGTAAATTTATTTATTTATACTAAAGCAGAAGGGATCAAGAACCTGTGAGAGTCTATCAATCTAAAGGATTTGTACAATGTGTTTAGTTTATAAGTGATAGCTAACTAAACCTTCTAAGATGTGGCAGTATAAAGCATTAGTAAATAATGACATAAATATGAATGTGTTTATTGTGGCATTATGTATGAGGAAAAATACTGGAAATCCCTTGTCAGAAGAGGAAATGGGTGGAATTAATTGAGGTATGTCTACAACTACAATATGGAGTATGATTCGGTTACTAAACATAATGCATTGGGTCCATCTGTGTTGATACAGCAGTTCATTCATTGACATATTGCTAAATAAAACAAGTTGCAGGTTAATACTACTTAAAGAGATGAGTGTACGTCTACATTTATGCACACATTTGTGAACGCTGAAATGGTGCAGGGCGTACGTGACAGTCTGTTAACACTGGTAACCTCAGGATGCAGCAGCACAGTTGAGAAGTAGGAGATGGGAAATTAGTAATTTTTAAAAACCTCTCTACTATTTGAATTACAGAATGTGTGTTTTATTATCTTAAAAAAAAATAAATTGGGGCCAGCAAGTGGCATGATGGTTAGGGGCACTGGATATATGGGCCTGGAGGCTTGCTTTCTCCCTTTCTCTCTCTCTTTTACTCTGCCTCTGCTCCTGGTCTGGTCAAATTAAAATAACTGACTAAATAAAGTTAAATAATTCTGATTAAAAAAAAAACTAAGTTATGTTGTTTGATTGAAAGGGACTGGATATATATTTTTAATTTTTTTTCTTTTTACTCATTTGCATTTTCTAATTTTTCTGTAATACACAAGCACTGTTTTAG